ACACCATAAGAAGGGGACTAAGATAGAAGAAAAATAGAGAAAATGAGCCAATTCGAGTTATAACTTGAATATATACATATATATCTTATATATACATATATCTTATATATGCATATATATATATGGAAATGTCACAAAGATATACTCCTGTATATCTTAACAAACAAAAATGTCACAAGGATACTCCTTGTGTATCTTAAACAAAAATGTCATTTTTTCTTTTACAAATTAGAGAATCAGAGAGCAGAACAGTTTTTGCCTGGGTGGGTTGGTACCAGTGGGAGGAGGGAGGATATGGGGAAAGGGTGTAGAAGGGTGAATATGGCGCAAATGTACACATGTGTGCAAGTGTACACATACATAAATGGAAAAATGATACATGTTGAAACTGTTCCAGGGATGGGATGGATGATAAAGGAGAATGGTGGAGGGGGTGAATTCAAGTATGATATATTTGATATATCATAAGAACTTTTGTAAACACCACAGTGTACCCTCACCTAGCACAACAATAAAAAAAGAGGAAAAAAACTGGAATGTCGTAGAGCTAAAGGAGTAGTTTGGTTAAATTACTATGAAAAGTAAACTAATAGTATAAATAATATTTTTAAAGTCCAGATTAATAACAGACATATAAATAATTGAAGTTTTTTGTGGTACTAGGGTTTGAACTGAGGGCCTACACGTTGAGCCACTCCATCAGCTTTTTTTTTTTTTTTTTTGATGGATTTTTTTCAGGATAGGGTCTTGCAAACTGTTTGCCTGGACCTGGCTTTGAACCATAATCCTCCTGATCTCTGCCTCCTGAGTAGCTAGGATTACAGGCATGAGCCACGAATGCCCAGCTGGAGTTTTAATAGATTACGAATTCCATGTTAATAGAACAGTATAATTTTCAACAATGAAAATAGCTTATCTAATCTCAGATTATATTAATTTTACAATATTCATAATAAAGATAGCAAAAATCAGTAAGGGAATGGAAGACTTGAATAACCCTGTCAACTAGTGAGACCCAACTGGCATAATTAAAACACTTTGCCCAGCACCACCACCAGTTGTATGTTCTTTTCAGGTGCATAGGTACCATTTACCAAGAAGGACCATACATTGACCATAAAGCAGATCTCAATATATTTAAGATACTGGAATTCTGTGGAATATACTTTTTGATCAAAATAGAATTAAATAAAAAACAAATAACAAAAATATGTCTGGAAAGTCCTCAAATATTGGAAATTAAACAACATTTCAATATAATGTACAGATTAAAGAAAAAAGTATTTTGAGCTATAAGAAAACACTATCAAGATTTGTGGGAAATAGTTAAAGTAGTTCTTAAAGAGGAGTTTATAATTTTAAATGCTTATGTCAGAAAAAAAATCAAGATCTGAAAATCATGTAGGGAGAAAAAAGAGCAAAATAAATCCAATGTGTGTATAGATAGAAGGAAATAGTAAAGGAAAATACAAATATACACCAATGTTCCTCCTGAATATCAACACAAAAATTACAAACAAAATATTAACAAATCAAATTCAACAGTATATAAAAAATATAATATACACTGACCAGGAAGGGCATTAATACAAATACTAGTTAATTCAAGGACAATTTGATGATTAATTAATCAGCTAATACAGAAAAGAAGCAAAATCAATATAACATTTTTGATACAGAAAGACATTTGAAAAAAATTCAAAAATTGTTCAAGGTAAAACAAACAAACATAAATTAAAAAAATTTTTTCCTGTCTGTTTTTTGGCAGCACTGGAATTTGAACTCAGGGTCTTGTACTTGTGAGACGGGGGTTCTACCACTTGAGACAGGAACCCAGATGGCAAACAAAAAACTTTATTTTTAATGAAGTATGAGTAGAAAGGAACTTTCTTAACCAATGGAAAGAAATTTGTATCTTACTTAATGATAAAAGACTGCTTTTGATCTAAGAAGAGTAACAATTAGGATATTAACTCTTACCATTTTTATTCAGCATTATACTGGGTATCCTCCCAGTAAAATAAGGCAGGAAGCAAAACCGTATTTATTTGCACATGGAAGATCCAAAAGAGTTTAAAAAAGAACAAAAACTAATACACTTAGAAAGTTACTTTATTCAGCTTGCAAAGTATGGGGCTACAAAATTCCATTGCATTTCTCACTAGCAATGAATAATTAGAAACAAAAATTTTAAAATCTCATTTACAATAGCACAAAACAAAAAGATACTTAAAGATAGTATTTTAAAGTATGTGCAAGTTTTCAACATTGAAAACTATAAAATATTGCTGAGATAAATGAAAGAACACATAATTTAATGGAGAGATATGACATGTCATAGATTAGAGGATTCAATATTGTTCACATGTCAATTCCCCTTAAATTGGAGAATGGGAAAAAGGCACTCTGTATTCCAAAAGTGAGTTTTTAAAACATTTGATGATCTGGGGCTGATGGAGTGGCTCAAGTGGTAGACCTCCTGCCTAGCAAACACAAGGCCCTGAGTTCAAACTCAAATACTATACACACACAAAGAAATTGAAAAGCAAGAAACAGATTTGTATATTTGCTATACACTTGTCTGACAAAGGCATTCAAAATATATAAAGAACTCCTAGAGCCTAATAACAAGAATACAAACTACTCAATTAAAAATTGAGCAAAATTTTGGACACTTTACCGAAGAACAAATAGCACAAAACAGATGAAATAGTAGTAAGCATTTTTGGTGGTCACCGTTATTAGTCATTGGGGACACTTCAAGAAGATGCCTCTTTTCACCCAATTGAGTGACATAAAAAGACAGCAAATAGCCAAGTGGTGATGTATGACTCCTATGCAGTGCTGGCGCGAAGGTCAAAATGAAGCAACCGTGTTGGAAAATGGTTCAATACTCTGTATATACAATTAAACACACACTTCTGCATGAACAAGTGACTCCATTCCTATAAGAGAAACAAGGTACACCGGTAAAAGGGTCTGTGCAAGAATGCTCCTAGCAGCTTTATTTATAATGACCCCATTATGGGAGACAGCCCCAATATCCACCAGCATTTGGTGGATGGGCAAATCACCTGGGGCATATGCATACAAAGAAACACTAGTCGGTGATAAAAAGGAACAAACTTTGGATATACAGGCAAGGACATGATGAATTTCAAAAATATGCAAAGTGAAGGAAGTCAAACACAAAGGAACAAGCACTATATGATCCCATTCACATTAAATGCTAGAAAAGACAAACAATCTACAGTTACACAAAACAACTCAGTGGAGCAGATATGGGACGAAGTGGGCGATTGACTTTAAAGAGAACTTACCAGTGTGATGTAATTGTCCATTAACTGGACAGGTGTGCACACTGATCAAAACTTATGGAACTCAGCACTTAATAATAAAAGTGCAATATATTGTTGAATGTAATTTATGTCTCAATAAAGCTGATTAAAACGTTCAAAGGAAAGTGGAGTCACAAATGTCATGAAGCAAGATAGCTTGGGGGAATGAGTGGTATGAACTAACAGCCAGTGTCCTCAGGAAACAGCCATGTGGACCAGTCAGCTCTAGGTCTATTCGGCCTTGTGCTGCACAGAGCAAAGTTTCAGGTTCTTGGCAGGGAGGGTCTGAGGGCCCGGTTTGGATCAGGTCCCCACTCTGAGAGAGGGCAAAGCTGGACCAACCTGCTGACCTTACCACCCAGCCTGTGGCGGGGTGTTTCCTGAAGATAAATGGAGGTACTGTCACCAGAGCCCTTGCAGTGCCTGGTAAACCAGCCAACCAGCTATTAAACACAAAAACCATCTTTCCCTGTGTCTTTCCAAGGCAGAGCACCAAGGATGGATGGCAAGGGGCTTCCAATATGTTCGTCTTTGTTCAAACCAAGAGTGTGTTCACTCATTCCAGTTATGAATTCACCCAAAGAAATTTGGAGTCTGGACTGTTTACCAGGAACTATTATTGACTACAGGGACTCACAGACACTTTTCTAAAAAAAAAAACTGTTCATATTAATAAGAGGAGTTGGTTGCGATGATTATTTTATGTACGAGTATAGGCCTGGTTTTGTTTTTGCTTGGAGCGGGTAGAATTAATATAAGAAAGAACTACCTCGCAATTAGAGAAGTTTGCATCTTTCTGGATCGTCAGGTTGTGGGGAAAGTCTTAAATCTGGAGGAGGAAGGTGGACAACCAGAGAAGCGGATTGCAATCCACAGACAGTAAATAAATAAGACCTTTTCTTGGTGTTAAGCTTCTCGGGTCTCCCGGGGCTTCGTTGGTAGACGGCAGAGGGAGCCATTCCCCAAGAAATCAGAGCGCGAGGCGCAGCGGAGAGCCTGGGGACTTGGGGCGTCCCAGGAGTTCCCTCTCCGCCCCGCCTCCGAGGAGAGGAGCTGGCGCTCACCCTCCACCTCCACCCTCCGCTCCCCGCTCGCCCCACCTCCCCAGCCACTTCGCTGCGGCGTCGCACTCAGGGGCCGGCTTGGTCACCCATCCCTTCTCTGTCCCACGTTTGCGCTCGCTCCCCTAGGAACGCGGGGGACGCGCGGTCCACGCCAGTTGGCTGCTCCGGAGCTGGCCCGGGCCCCCAAATCCTTGTAGAGGTTCTAGAGCTCCTTCGGGGGACTTTGATGAGGGGTTAGTCCTGAACCTGGGTCAGTACGCAGACGGCTCTCACTCTGCCACTACTTCGTCCAGCCCCTAAGGTGACCCCAAGGTTTATCAACTTCGTGACCCGGGCATTGGCGGGGTCACCCCCAGGTGGTGGAAGCCTCGCAGGCAGAGTGACTGGCGATCAGGGTGCAGGAGTCGGGTCACCAGGGTCCTGCCAGTGGCCTTAGGGACTTCAGCGCCATCGACACCTCCTCCCCCACACCCCTCCAGCAGCAGCCCCAGCGGCCACTGTCCCCGTGGCAGCAGCTGCAGCAGAGGCAACTGCTCGCATCCTGACCCGGCTCGGGTTTCTCCCTTCCTCCTCCAGCATCTCGGGCCAGACAGTGAAAACCTTGTTCAAGTTCGCGGCAAGTACTTCCTGCGCGCAACACCGAGGTCTGGAAAGGCGTTGGGAGCTGCCTGCTCCCGCGTCTCCACCTCTGCGCCTAAACCGAGACTCCCAAGGGTCGCTGCTCGAACGCTCGCTGCGCCTTTGGAAACAGATTTCTTACCTTGACTGGCGTTGCATGAAGACCGGGGGGAAAAGATTGCGCTGCGAATCCCAAGATCACAAGTCCTGGGTAAGAGTTAGCCAAACCCAACTCTGGGGGCCATTGCACTTGGCCGGACGCTGGGAGGCTTCTTGGGAGTGGAGGGCACATTTCCCTCTGCAGGGACCCTGAGGTGCGGCGTGAGGTAGGGCGATGTGGACTCGGGTTGGGTTGTTGATTTGCCTCGCAGGGAGTTATTGTTACTGTTTGAGTTTGGTTTTGTTAGCTGTGTAGGGAATTCCTGGAGTGTTTTTCCTGGGAAGACACGCTTTTTATATATTTTCTGCCTTTGTATTGTGCCTTGCCTGTATTGTTCCATGATGAGCCGTGACTTTGCTGGATGTGGGGAGTTTGGGGAAGGTCAATCCGAGAATAAAAGGCAGCTTCAGCTGGGCCATTCCTTTCAGATCTGCTGCATGTCTCTGGGATCTTGCACTTACTTTCTAAACTTTTCTTTCTTCCGTACTTGGTATTCAGATGGTGCAGTTGACTGACTCATGAGCTCCCGGTATGCTCCTCAGCGTTCTTTAGGGGTGTCAGGGTTATAGGCTGGGTGACAGATCATAGGGTTCTTGTCAGAATGCTTGGCTCCTCAGGAATGCTAGAAGGGACAGTTCTTTAAGCCATCCTTCTTATTTAACAAGGATTTATCCGCTGGTGGTCTTTTTCTTTGAAAATCACTTGATCTAGGACTTTAACCTCTGGTATAGGACGATATTTTGTCTTTATTTTGCTTTCTGGAAGTATTTTCTTTAATAACACTGCTGAATAAATGAAATCTTGGTGATAGCTTTGCTGCTTCTTTCAAGAAAGAAATAACTTCACACAAAACCCCTCATTTTTTAGGGGAGAGTTAAAGTTTGGGTTTTATTAGCCTAAATTATCTAGTATTGCTGTTGTTAGGCAGTGATAACCAGGCTGTGCCGAGGCAGAGAGTGACAGTCCTTCTTGGTTCTTCTTTCCTTCCCTGCTTGTGTCGTGAATCTCAGTTCCATGTAATCTAACCAAATTAAAATTCTCCATTCTGTGTGGATGAAAAGACCGGGGCTAAATAACATTATCCAGAAATGCTGTCACCCTGTCAGGAGGCTCCAAGAGGTCAGCTTGCAGGGCACCTTTTGTTTTGCCACTGTGAGGTCAAAGAGTTCTGTTGGTAAGCTCCAGGGGCCAGGTGATCTGGACTCAGCTCTCCACTTTACAACTGTGTGTTTTTGTGGTTCTTAACTTCTCCATCTCCATCTCCAAAATCAGAATGATAATGACAGTGCTAACCCCAAAGATTGTGGAAAGGACTGGGCTAACAAGCCTGGTACATAGTAGGCAATATTGGCTATTATTATTATTATTCTATTACTGAACTAGCATTAACTATTGCTGTATTGCTATAAAGTTACTTTCATCATCTATCAGAAAGTGTTACTTATTAATCCTAGAAGGCTGTTGCTTCTCTGTGAGCTTCACTGCCACCTACCATGTCACAGTTTGTTCAACTTAGCTCAGGTATGGTTTTGTAGTGTTTCCTCTTGGAGCACTTTCAGTTGGGAAAAAGGTGGAGGCTGCAGGGCTGGGACTTGGTAGCGTTGGGTCATGGCTGGACACCAAACGTGTGGTAGGAGGCAGGAAATCTGTACTTAGTTCACAACCTGTGCACTTCCTTAGAAACCTTTTGTATTAATGTGCTTCCTTTAAGCTGATTTTTAGAGGTCAATCATTTATTCAACAAATATTTATTAAGCTCTTTTATTGCATTTCAAGCGATGCTCAAAGTAAAAAGCTTCATTTAAAAAAAACGGATATACATTGGCTTTATGACCATCCCCACTTTATCTCAAGAATGTTAACACTTCCTTCGAGTGACACCTACACTCTATATAAGTAAATCCCAAACACTTTTTTGTGATAGTGTCTTCAATACCAATTCAAATGAACATAAATGCACTGTGATTGAAGAATTGAATGAAATATTCAATAAGACCTCAAGCAGGTAGCGTCTCTATTTAGGCATTTGTTTTCTGATAGATAAGCATGTGTTGGGAGCTGAAAAAAGAGCTGAATAATCTTTGGTGTTCCTTCTGGCTCTAAAATTCTTAGCTGCCTTACTTCATTGTGATTGATTGTGGCACTTCTCATTTTTTTCTTTTAATATTTATTTTAGGTAAGTAAATTATAAAGCTTCCATCTTTTTAGGTTAATTAATGACAGTTATAATTAATAAAAAGGAAAAGCATTTAACTGCTTGTATTTCATCAGCTTTCAGACTGATATACATCAGAAACATGGGAGGAATTTGATAAAAATATTAAATTGAAATATGAGAAATTGTCAATACTTGGTTATTTTTACCTAAACAAATGGCAGCATCACATGGTTAACCTAATATAAATCTGGCCCCCTCAACCTGGATTCAGATGCAGTCAGTCTTGGGTGAAGTGTGGAAAGTCTGCATTTTCACAAGTTCCCCAGGTGGTTCTGAGGCAAAACCAGTCACAAGCTAAATAGCACCAGTGGGTCTCCCTTCTTCACGATTGTCTGCTTGGCCTGAGAGCGTATGTCGAAAATACAAATCCGATCATGTCATTCTCTTGTTTAAAACTTGTTGGCAAAACATTCTAGACGGTGAATGTCAGTGTCACTCCAGGACTTGTTGAAAATATAGATTCAAGGCTTCATCCCAGACGCAAGAACCAGAAATCTGCATTTGAGCAGATCTCTTAGGGCATTGGATAGAGATGACTTCAGGTCACATTTGAAGCTTCTTTATTGTGGTACAGGGCTACCTCTCCTCTGGGTTGTTTCTCTGCTTCTTTTCTCCCCACTGCTCCAGCTCCCACAGAGCTCCATTCTATTACTCCTCCCCAAACACTGTGCCCTTTTCCTCCTCCGCGACCCATCTGTGTGTGCTCATCCCTCTGCTGGAAACATCTTGCCCCTCTTTTCCTTCTAACCAACTATCTGCTATCCATTTATCTTTCAAGGCACAGTTCAAATCGAACTTTTCCTCTAAAGCTTTTCCTAATTCTCTCACATAAACTGAGTGATATCTCATGTGAGTACCCATTCTTCTTTGTGGATAGCTTTCATATAGCATCTGTCACATTGTTATCTGAATGCTTATTCCCAACAGGTTGGTGAGCTCATCGTTCTTTATTGAAAGCCCTTGTCCAAGTTTTGGATGATAGTAGTTACATAATACATCCCCAGAGGATGTGGGAGAAGAATGAATGAATGAATGGCAACTGACAGTTTCTTAGCACACAAAGTGTTTAGGACAGTGACTATGTACCTATTGAGAGTTTGGATAAGCCAGTAGGTATTTATGTTTGGCTAGATGTGATCTACAAAGTTAACAGCCTGTACTGGAAAACAAGAGAAGACAGATTATTCTAAGTAGACTTAAGAAATACCAATACTATTAGGTTAATGAATAAGTTCAACATATGTAAGATTAAAGAGCTGTGTTTATGTTTTGGGATGGTTTTGGTTGTAAATGACAGTGTCAGTAAAAACAACCAACTTTGCCCTGTGCTTTTCAGTTTCTAAAACACTTTTGCATGTGTTTTTGTATTTGATCAGAAACATGGTGGCTGGTTTCATACTGACTATCCTACTTTCCTGCAAAATGTATTCCTGAAAGTAGGTCCAAGCCTACATGTTATAAGGGATACTGACCTTAGAAAGTCAAGTACATTACAAAATCTCTCATTATACCTTGCCATTTAGATGCAACATTCAGTGTATACTTCTTTCATTTTCTTTTTTTAATCTTTCTATAAGTTTGGTTATTTCCTCCTCATTTAAACAAAAATTGACCTGTTTGAGTTCAATAAATGTCTGATCTAGATTAAAGACTTGCCATTTTTGATATGTATCATAACTTTTGTCTTTGGCTTATTTACATTAACTTCATGAGGAAAAAATATTTCTCATGATTACTATTAGGCTTTTCATTTTCCCAGTTCCCATTCACCTTTTGTAATAATGATCATATGGAAATACATCTCAGTAAGCAGATGAATAATTTCCAGGGTAATAATCAGATGATGCTACTGCAAAAGCTGAAGTGTCGGCTCACGGATGCATCCTAGTAAAATCTGTGTGTAGGGCAGGGAGGTGGGAGCATGTAAATGTAGTACAAAGCCCCAACACTGTTGGACTCCAAACACAGCCATGTTAAGGATTGCTTCTGTTCTCAGGTACTCAAGGGTGTGCCCCACTTATTTAGTTTTAAAAATTAGTTTCAAGAACTAAATATTAGATTTATCCAGTTCTGTTATTTTCCTTGTTTTTCAATTCTGTTTCTAAAATGAACTTTTTCTACCTTGGTGTAAGCTTGGATCATTTTCTGCCTGTGCTTTTGTACATCTTCTAATTGGTCTCTTAATTTATTCATTCATTCATTAATTGTCAGTATCTGATTGCCCCTGAAGTTTATATTCATCTTTTCTTTCTCTTCAGCGTTTAAAATTATTTTTCACCATGATCATTCTTACTCTTTTTAAACATAGCTATTATAGAGGATTCATTTAGGGAGCTTAATAAAAGGATGTCACATACTATGAGGAAAAAATAAGGTACAAATCAAGGTTATTTTACTTTCTAGAACTTTATTTGTGGAACTGCAAATCACATGTGGACGCTAATTGATGATGCATACTGTGTGTTATTAACCAGTCTGAAAATGCGAATTCGATAATATATCCTGTTATGATCACTATTCATTTCTATTGATTTCCTTTCCTACTTCATTTCTAGTGATTTATTCTCCTAGATAAAGAAACTATGTGAAACATTCTAACACCTCAGCTTCCTATTCAGAAGGCAATAAATTATATCCCTTGCTACTTTCGAAGACAAAGAAAATAGTATGGAAAGCCTCATCTTGATGGGTACATGTGCAGGATGTTAGCATCTGTTAAAAACATCTTACTGTTGGAAGCAAGGAGGCCCCATTGGAAAGCTGACCAAGCACCTTGTCATTAATATTGTGTCCAACCCAAATGAGTTGTGCAGATTTGGTTAGTTCTAAAACA